TTTCCTGTAAATTTAGAAAGTCAGAGTATAATAGTAAAATCAGTTTTATCTAAAGGAAATAAAGAAAGTAATATTTTAAATACACCTTGGTTTGCAAACTGTAATTAATATCTGGTTGTGAGATAATAAAAGTATTTGTGAAGTACATACAATGAAAAAGAAAAGCAAGTGATTAATGTATCACAGGGAAAGTGACATCTGAGTAATGTTTAGAAGATGAGTGAAAGCTTCCTTAGCAGAGGAATTATACATGCAAAGTTAGACATAACTTTTAACATCATACTTTGACCTAGATATCATCAGAAATCCATTAGTGTAACGCTGGAATGTAAAAATTCACAAGCGACTGATCATAAGAGAGGTGAAGTTGAGAGAAAAGCAAGATGTATTGAATGAGTAGGATAATATTTTTCAGTAGCAGTGGTTCTCAAAGTATGGTTAAAGGACTCCTAGATATTCAACAATTTTTCAGTGGATTCACAAGGTCAGAACTATATTTCTTATAATAATAAAGCATTATTTGCTTTTAACACTCTTTTTCTCATACAAGAATGCAGAGGAAGTTTCTAAAGGCTACATGACATATGACATCACAACAGACCAATGCAGAAGGGGATAAAACCCTATGAATCTCCTATTGAGGCAGACATTAAAGAGATTTGCAAAGATGTAAAACAATGCTTTTCTCACTTTTTTTTGTTTCAAAATTAACATTATTTTCCATAATATTTATGTTAATATACAATAAAAATGTTTTGGAAATGTTTGTTTCAATTTCTAATATAGTAAACACTGTTTATCTAAAGCAAACTTTAAAAAGTGTTTGGGGTTGGTCTCAACAACTACTAATAATGTAATTTCAAACCAAAAAGTGTGAGGACCCATACTGAAACTTAATAAGAACTAAGTATAGAGGCTTAATATTTCTTAATGCTCATATAACTAGTATGATAAAAAGGAAAACATAAATAGTCATCCTGGTTATTATACTTGACTATTGAGTTGGTATGGGTAAACGGTGCCAATACATTGATAGTCAAGACAGAGATGAAGGCAGGTGATAAAAATGTAAAATGGAGCTGAAAAGTAGTATAAATAATATTCTTTTAAAAGTAATGAAGTTTTAATCAAATATGTCATTTCTATTAAAATAGGCTGTCATGGCTGTTTCCTCACTGCAATTATTACTGCTAAAGAAAGAGAAGACAATGACAAGAGGAGGAGGATAAGAAGGTAGAATAGGAGGAAAAAAATTAAACTTCTGCATGCTGATTAGTACTTTAAATATTAGGTTGATCATCATAAAGCATAAAGAGTAGGGAGAAAACACTTGTTTTTAGTGTTCAAAATGAATATTCCCTAGGATAAATTAATTGAGCCAAAAATAGCCTGTTCCAAAAGCTTACGTTAAGAAGTGCTACATGAGGGCAAGAAATGTCTGAATATTTGATACCCGATATGGTTTGGATGTGTTTGCACTCAAATCTCATCTCCAATTGTCATCCTCACGTGTTGAGGGAGAGACCTGGCAGGAGGTGATTGGATCGTGGGGGTGGTTCCCCCCGTGCTGTTCTCTGCTGATAGTGAGTTCTCAGGAGAATATGTGCCTTGCTTCCCCTTTGCCTTTCACCATGACTGTAAGCTTCCTGAGGCCCCTCCAGCCATGTGGAACTGTGAGTCAATTAAACCTCTTTTGTCTATAAATTACCCAGTCTCAGGCAATATCTTCTTGGCGGTGTGAAAACAGACTAATACAAAACCAATACAAAATTAATATAGATGTTTAATTTCATTAAAAAAATTGTCATTACTGAATATGACCACCCTCAGGTTAGCAATTTTATAAACAGTTCTAACACTATTATTCTGAAGAGTGGCCATACTGGTTTATGGCTTAATAACTCAGGGACTATTTTACTAACCCAGGTATCAAAGAATCTAACAGTTAATTTGATTTGGAACAAATATGGTTATTTGTAATAATTTTACAACATAATAGACAAAAAAATTGCTCAGTTCAAACAAAAACTAGGATAGAGAATATACAATCTTGGTTAATGTTTTCATCGTTTTGTAGAAATGCTCATAAATAAGTCTATAAATTATATATCTATAAATAAATACAGTAAGACAACAATGTAATACCACCACCTAGGAGATGCCACACACCTATTAGAATGGCCACAATCCAGAACACTAACAACACTAAATGCTGTTTACTATGTGGAACAACAGAAACTCTCATTAATTGCTGATGTGAATACAAAATGATACAACACTTTGAAAAACAGTTGTTTGGTGGGTTCTTATCAAACTAAACACTCTTTCCACACAATCCAGAAGTCATGCTCCCTTGGTATTAATCCTAAAAAGTGCAAAACTTATGTCCACACAAAAATATACTCAAAGGTGTTTATATTAGCTTTGTTCATAATTGCCAAAATGTAGAAGCAACTAAGATGTCAGTCAGCAGGTGAATTGATGAGTAAATGGTGGCACATCCAGCCAAAGTAATGCTACTCTGTGCTAAAAAGAAATGAGCTATTAAGCCATTTAAAAAAAAAAAAAAAAAAAAAAAGGAGGAAACATAAAAGCATTTACTAAGTAAAAGATGCCAGTCTGAAAAGGCTATTTACTCTTTAATACTAATTATTTGACTTTAGGGAAAAAAGAAAAAGTATGGAGACAGTAAAAAGATCAGTAGTGGCCAGGCACGGTGGCTCACGATGCCTGTAATCCCAGCACTTTGGGAGGCCGAGGTTGGCGGATCACAAGGTCAGGAGTTCAAAACTAGCCTGACCAACATGGTGAAACCCTGTCTCTACGAAAAATACAAAAAAATTCGCTGAGCGTGGTGGTGCACACCTGTAATCCCAGCTACTCAGAAAGCTGAGGCAGGAGAATTGCTTGATCCCAGAAGGCGGAAGTTGCAGTGGGTTGAGATCGCACCACTGCACTCCAGCCTGGGCGACAGAGCAAGACTCTGTCTCAAAAAAATAAAAATAAATAAAATTAAATTAAAAATTAAAAAAATAAAAAATAAAAATCAGTAGCTGCCAAACTTTACAAGGGAAGGAAGACGAACAGGCAGAGTGCGGAGGATGTTTGGGGCAGTGAAACTTCCCTGTATAATACTATAATGGTGGATACATGCTGTTACAAATCTATCCAAACCCACAGAATGCACACCACCAAGTATAAACCTTAATGTTAACTATGGGCTACAGGTGATCATGATGTCACTGTAAGTTCATTGATCATTACAACTTTGTTGGACAATATTGATGATGGGGAGGCTACGCATGTGTGGGAGCAGGAGGTATACAGGAAATCTCTTTACTTTCAACTCTGCTTTGCTGTAAACCTAAAACTCAAAATATTAAAGTCTATTATAATAAATATGTGCAACTAAAATCTCTGTACTTTCTACTCAATTTTGCTGTAAACCTAAAACTGCTCAAAAAATTAAAGTATATTAAAGTAAATAAATAACTACAAATAAAGAATGTATCTTGGTTCATATTTACTAAGTTAGAAATTGTAATTTCTTGTAAGATTTAAAAACAATAGGAGTAAACTCAATACCCTCAGTAATATCATCTTCCTATTAAAAAGAATATTACAAGAAGACTAAGAGGCAGGATGATAAACATTTTTTTACTCACGATCAATATTTTAAGAAAGGGGACAAAATTAGGCAAAAATTATCATATAATACTTTGTTGAAACAAACACCTTCTAAGAACCATATTTGATTAGGTTAAGTGAAAAAAAAAAAAAAAAAGAAAAACAGAATAGAATTTCCATTGTTGCAATGTTCTCAAAATTTGAGCCTAATTTCTTGATAAATATATCTAAAAGAGTAAAGCATTAAAGTCAGTATAGTGCTTTGATAACAATTAGAGGAGAGTATAATGACACAGTGTTGGTTGTTGTTGTTTTAATGTAACATTTTTGTGTGTCAACAATGTGCTTCCATTTTGGCAGTGTTTCACCCAGTACAAAATCTACAAAGAATATTAGAGAGTATTTTCTTTCGACATAGTTCACAGAATACAAATGAACATATTAAATATTGATGTTTCCTTTTCTGCAAGGTATTTTTACTTTTACAATAGCTTTTATCTAATTTCTATTTTATTCATATTCTGTCAGATTAGCCTCACCTCATTAGAACACAATAATACATCCATGACAGCAGAGATCAGAAACAATAAACAAGAACAAAAACAACCTATAAACTCTCAATTGACTTAGCATTTGTGAAGGACTATTTCACCGATAAATAAGTTTCCTGAGTATTGAAAAGCTTGCTATCATGACTACATAAATAGAAATAACCCAGTGATTAAATGGCTGGTATTCACATCAGAACCAAGAGTGCATACTAGTTTCGAAAGAAAATCAGAAATATATAACATTTTATACAATGCAAAATTACATTTTTACTAAGACATACAAGTGGTAGGAGTTTTAGCTTTTTAACTGTGAAACATTGTTCTACTTAAAAGCATATCGTATTAAAAAATCCAGTGTCATAGAAAAACTATTAGAAACATTGCAAAATTTAGTTCTAGGAATTTACTTTTTTTTTTTTTCTTTTTCTGATATATACGCTAACTTTAAACAATGACTGGCAGTAGAGCAGAGACTACAAGTTGTTTACCAAAAAATAAATTCTGTTCATTTCACTAATAAAACTACTATGTATATCCATGTCCAACTATACTACATGTGTCCCTTGAGGTTATATGTAGCCATTTAAATGAATTATTTCAATGGTATGCATACAAAAGTGATGTGTCCTACTTCCAAACTGGGCTCTCAAGATCAATTTTACCTTCCTGTGAAATTAAGCAATTTAATATATTGTTAATATTGTTTAAAGTATTGTTATATTATTATAGTTATTATATATAACAACATATTATATATAGTTAATGTAAGTATTAATATATATACTTCAGACTTAGAAAAATAAAATACTATCTTGTCTTAACCATTGTTGTTTTGGCCTCTTTGTCATAGCCACTAGCATTCCTGAATACTAATATAGCAAAGCAAGTGTCTCATCCTAGTCTCAGTGAAGTTTCAAACTGGCTCAGGTAAACATATGACATCATTCCTTAAAATATCACATGCTCATTCTCCACTGACTCTACAGCATCCCAAGTGGACTTAAAAACTAAAACTATCCCTCAGATAATAAATCCCATTATGTAAATAAATTATAACCAAAATAAGAAATAAAGAACCACTATTTTGCAAGCAATCAGGAAAAGTAATCAGGACTTTTCCAGCTACAAAGGGTCAGGATTACAACTTCAATCAGTTTAAGCAACAAATAAACAAACTCACTTTTTTTTTCTCTCTGTTTTGCTCCTTTCTTTCTATATTAGACAATGTTGATTTTCCAGCTAAATCCAGTTCTAACCTCATTCTTTATTGCTGACTGAGTTGTTCAAGTGTTCACACTTCCATAGTAAAATCATCAAAAAGGAAAGAAAACTCTATCACCTAAAAACGAAGCAAGGTAATTACATTACCCTAACCATGATTGGTTTAGAGTTTGTAAGAAGAAATTCTGGCAAATGAGACATGAAATGTAAAAGCCTTCTGAGTGGTGGAACTTCTTTGGATATTATTTTTCTCTTAAAAAGAGACAGATGACCTGTAGATATAACAAAATGATAGTTTATTATGAACAAAAAATTCCAAGATATTCAAAATTTTACCAAAAGTGGACAAATCTTTAAACAATTACACGTGAACAAAACTATTTCAAAACATCCAAAACTTAAATTTCCTATACCATTAACATTAATCTATATTTGATTTAAATAATAATAACAATCAATTAATTCAATAATTGTATTAAAATTAAAAAATCTTCTTGGAAAGAAAGCAGTAGGCTTGAATGTTTTTGCTGGAGATTTTTATTAAAATCTCAAAAACAATTTAAATATATATAAATCATTCAAGAGAACTGAAAAAGAGGATATGCACCTTCTATACCACAACCTAACAAGGACAAAACCAAAAAGAAAAGTTATAGTTTTATCTCATCTATGAACTCATGTAAGAAAACACTCAGTTTTTAAAATTTACTAATATTTATAATTTTATAAGCATTAATAAATTTGCTGAATTACATAAAAAGGATAATATATCATATCTAAGTTGGATTTATACCAATAAAGAAAAGTTGTCTTAACATTAGTAAATCTGTATTTGTATTTTGCCATCTTATTTTAAAAATCATATGGAATTCTCAATACAGATAGACAAAACATTGTAGCACTCATTATGAAAATGTAAGCAGACTCTAACGGAGAAATTCCTTAGACTTAGAAGATCTAAAGAGCTTTACAAAAATATATTTAATTTTGAAAGTTTTCCCTTTGAGATTGGGAACAAGATTGGGAATGAGAAAGTATGGAATTTCAATGAACACTGTGCTGGAATCCGCCATTGGTGTAGTAAGGCAAGAGGAGAAAATAAAATGTATACAAATTTTAAGAAAAATAATAAGACTATATTTTAATAAAATATCCAGTAAGGAATCATTAAATTATTTGAAATAGCAAGAATTTATCTATGCTGTAGAATACATACTAAACCAATGAAAATCATTTTGAATGTTATTAATAAAATATGAAATTCTCAGTAATAAATTCACAAATTATGTGCAAGATTTAATAAAAATGATTGATGAATTTTAAAGAATTAAATAAATCCAGATATATAGTACTATGTGGATCAGAAAAATCAAAACTTCAGAGATATGAATCTCCTCCTGATTTGTAGACTAATTACATTCTTTACTTCTGCACCTTCCATATTAACTACCCAAATGGTTCCTTAGAGTAATAAAATCTATGGATTGTCACTGTTAAGATGGAAACTTTGTGACTGTTAAGCTGCTATCACAGGTAACATATTTTCTTCTGTGAGGGCAATAGGATTGATTATATTAAAACAGGCCTTGATTTATTCTTTCTGCCCTTTCCATAAATCTTTAGGACTATAAGCATGTAGGCAGACACAAAAGCAAAGCAAGGTGTGTGTTGTTTACTGTCGTAATACAACTGATTTCTCTTGTGTCTCTAACTCTCATCACCAAAAACCAAGGCATACATCTTAGGCTTGGAATTTTCATATTTCAAATTCAAATTCAAATCTTTCCTTTCCTTATACCCACATTTGTCAGTTACAGTCTGCAAGGCTAACTTTGTGCCTATTTCACCACTGGGAACTTTATATTCAGTGACATATGGACTGGATGTTGATTTTGAATCTCAAAAAATTTGCTATTTAAAAATAAAATAAACATTACCTTGGAAATAACCTTGTAAAGGCACTTCAAATCTTTCTTCTAGCTGAAAAAAAAAAAAAAAAAAAAATCCCGTAAAAAGCCAAAAACAGAATATAATATTCTTTTCTTGTCTGGTTTCAGTCAGACTTTAGAATAAGTAAACAGAGAGAGAAAAATTGCTAAAAGTGAAGCTTTTTTTGTCAGCTAAGAAAATACAAAGTCTCCAGAGGTTTCTCTTTTCTCTTTCCTTGGTTTCTTCTGTCAAATTTTATAATAAAATCAAACACAAATGTGAAAAAGAACATATATTTTGTTTCGTCTAAAGAAATACCTAAACTTTATATGGTGCTTTGAGAATTACTTAGCCCATATAATTTCTTTGATATTAAGAAAAATATACTAAAGTCATGTTATGAGATGAGATGGTTTCTAATAGCACACACAGAATTTGAGTTAATTTGATTTAAGATTTTGTTCAAGGGAGCATAGCAACCAAAAGGATTCCACCAATCACCAGGAATGAAAGCTTTGATCCCAAGAACAAAAGAATAGAGAGGCTGTTTTGCACTATTTTTTTTTTCTGTTATTCAATAAAATTACATTTTCTATTTGTACTCCTTCATTTGCCTATATTTTCCCATAGCATCTCCATTTAAAAAAAAAAAAAAAAAATCTTTTCACTTTCTTGCCTCTTTACTTCACATATGAAACATTTTAAAAATTCTTAAAAAATATAGATTAGGGTTAAGAAAGAGTTCATGTATTTTTCATTTTTCTACTTTTCTATAAGAAAACTAAAATACATTTTTGAAAGCACTACTTCGGTATAAAATTGATTTTTCTTTTCTTATATAATACATAGTTTATTCATAAACTCCATAATATGAGAGCTCATTCTAAAACTGACCTTCAATTTTAGCATTCTGTTGGTAATCTTCTGCTTGCAAAAATGAACATTTTCCTTTTCAATTGTATGTATTTTAATATACTCTGTAGCCACATTTTTTCCTCTGGAGCTTAACAGTACAATCAGGCTTGTCATGAAGAGTGCCATTAGCCTGAGAATGGCAGAAAGGACACGTGACACAAAACTGGACACTCCAGTGCATTTCACCTGTGGGTAAAATAGTTGCTGAATAGTTTTTGAGTAAATAATAGTATATACATTCTTTAGTGAAAGGCTGTTTTACACTGACTGTATTATCATTCACTTGTAGGTATTTCCCTCCTGGAAACTTATTTATTTCTTTTGCTATATCTTCAACTGCAATAAATAGTCTACCAATACTCAATTTCCTTAAGGATATACTACAATTAAGGCACAAACACTAAACCAACAGGAACAGATCACACCCCAAAGAAAAACATGAAAAACAGATTTTGGAACCATACAGTGCATTTCACATGTTTTGACAAACCATTCTGTATATTTTCAAAAGAAATATTTTATTCATTTAAGACATTTAATCATGGATATATGAAAGAGAAATGGATATTTATTATATGGAAAGGATGTATGTGAAAGAAAGATTTATTGATGTAGCAAGAAAATAATTTCTTTCCCTAAAATTATAGAGCATAATGCATAATTTTATATCTATTCTCAATAGCTGAAGTTAGGTGCTCGAAATATTTTCAGAATTATTAAATAAAGATGTGCCTTACAACATTACTATGCGTAGACAATACAGTGACTGCAATAAAATTATACTACTAAGCTATTAACCTTGAGGAATCTGTCATGAACTTGCATCCCACAAAGGAAGAATCTGAGTGCTCACTTATCATAGATGACTTTAAGGAGAGGAACCTGAGTACTCACCTATCATAGATGACTTTAAGACTTCTTAAGGACCGGGTGCGGTAGCTCATGCCTGTAATCCCAGCACTTTGGGAGGCCGAAGAGGGCGGATCACGAGGTCAGGAGATTGATATCATCCTGGCTAATACCGCGAAACCCTGTCTCTGTTAAAAATACAAAAAAAAGTAGCTGGGCATGGTGGTGGGAGCCTGTAGTCCCAGCTACTTGGGAGGCTGAGGCAGGAGAATGACGTGAACCCGGGAGGCAGAGCTTGCAGTGAGCCGAGATCGCGCCACTGCACTCCAGCCTGGGCGACAGAGCAAGACTCCCTCTCCAAAAAAAAAAAAAAAAAAAAAAAAAAACCTTAAGCCACCTTCTGTGAGTTCTTAGAGCAATTTCTCAGGATTCTATTGGGGGAATAAAGCCATAATTCAATTAAAATTCATGACTTTATGCTATTTAATACCACACACAAAGAAATTTTAGAGTTTTGTGAATACATTCTGTGAATACAAAGGCAGAACATAAAATTGATATTTGAATTATGACAGATATACACATATACCCACCATACACATGCATATATACATATGTGTGTATCATGTTTATAATGCTAATAAATGTTTTATAGTATTGGGAAAGTAAAATTTAAAAGATAGCCACATGTGTATATCGTTGTAAATATGTCTTCCAAATGACCATATGAAAAGTCAGCATAAAGAGAAAACCAAATGGTTCATTTAAATATCAACATCAACAAATTTCTGAAGAAAAATCAAAATAAAGCATTAAATACATAATACATTTTTAAAAAATTTTTAAAGGTTCAAGATGTCATCAGCATCTGGATCTCATTACTTGGAAAACTCAGTACTATTCAGAAAATACTAAGGGTCCAGGGTTCTAATTGCCATTTACCATTATTTCACTTTGTCACTTAAAACAAATCAATTACCCTATCTAAATCTTAGGTACCTCCTTTTTAAAATTACAAAATGGATTAGATGATTTCTATAGATGCCTCTAGCTTTAATAGTCTATGATTCTGATTACATTCTGGCTTGAGACCAAAAAACGTTAAAGCAAGATAAGAGGCTACCACTTAATAACGTTATGACCTTTATTAATATTTCCACAAAGCTAAGAGTAGCAAAAAGCTTGAATGCAGCAGAATGACTAGCTTACACTTACCCGAGAGCTGCATGTTTCACTTCCTCATTTTATTGAGGCCTCTGTTGAAATATATCTTTATCAAAAAGCCCTTTCCCGAACACCCCATCTAACCACCACCCATCATTCTCTACACATTACCAGATTTTATTTTTCTGTCTATCGCTCTTTGCCAAAAGATATTTTACATTTTGAAATTTTTGGATGTTTATAATCCCCACTGATATAAACTCCATGACAGCTGTTTTGTTTTGCTTTGTTTTGTTTTAAATTCACAGTGGTGCTTCCAACAGACTGGTGCCCAGCATATAGAAGGTGCTCAGTGAAGTTTGTTAATTGAATGACTGATGCTTTCAACAATGAGTAAATGCATATGACTTGATCACAGAAGCATGTTAACACTGTGTAGCAGAAAATGAGGTTGAAAAAATAAGCTAGAACATGGTTAAAAGTAAGTTGGAAGGGTTGTCTTAACATTCCACGCAGGGTTGTCCAATAGAGTCTTTAATGATGAGAGAAATATTCTAGAACAGTGCTGTTCAATTCAGTAATCTCTAGCCACATGTGACTTTTGAGTATTTGAAACTAGGCTACTGTGATGGAGGAACTCATTTTCTTTTATTTACTTTTAATTAAGTTTATATTTAAATTTAAATAGCTGCATAAGGCTAGTGGCCGCTGAATTGAACTGTGCAGTTCCTAAGGAATTTGAAACTACTCCAAAAGCAATGGGAAGACACGGGAGGTTCTGTAGTAGAAAAAAGTGTGATAAGACTATATTTTTTAAAAATGATACTTTTGAAAGTAATATTTAGAATGAATTGGAATGGAGAGAAATTGTAAAGCAAAATGGCTAAATAGAAACTTGCAAAAATTTGATGTAAGGAACTGAAGACCGGAATTAGGGCCGTGATGGAATGAATGGAAGGGATGGAAGTGATAGGGAAACATCACAGTGGCAAAATCAATAGAACTTTTTTTGTTTGTTTGTTTTTTACTATGATCCTATATTTGCTGCTACAGAAGATTAGATAGATAACAATTCCACCTACAAAAAAGAACTCAGGTAGTAGAGCAAAACCATACTAAGTGTAATGTCAAGAGAAATTCACTGACTCAAAATTCAGCTCATTTTAAAATCCAGACACATAAATTACAAGTCAAAAAAATAGAAGCATTAATTTAAGAAAAAGAAAAAGTTTTATTTGCATTCCAAGTTGGTTGAAAATCAAGTGTAAGTAGCCGGGCGCGGTGGCTCAAGCCTGTAATCCCAGCACTTTGGGAGGCCGAAGCGGGCGGATCACGAGGTCAGGAGATCGAGACCATCCTCGCTAACACAGTGAAACCCCGTCTCTACTAAAAAATACAAAAAACTAGCTGGGCGAGGTGGCGGGCGCCTGTAGTCCCAGCTACTCGGGAGGCTGAAGCAGGAGAATGGCGTAAACCTGGGAGGCGGAGCTTGCAGTGAGCTGAGATCCGGCCACTGCACTCCAGCCCGGACGACAGAGCAAGACTCCGTCTCAAAAAAAAAAAAGAAAAGAAAAAAGAAAATCACATATACACACACACATATACATATATACATATATGATATATGTATATGTGTGTGTGTATATATGTGTATATATATATGGGGTGATGTTTGTGTATGGGTGTGCGTATATAAATATTATGTATGTATGTGTATAAATACAAACAATTTGAAAAACAATTGAAGATGTTTTCAAATAAGTCTACCCTATTTCTTATTCTTATAGAAAGCCACCTGTGACAAGCAGGCACATGCTCCTCTTTTAATGAAGGGAATACATTTTTATTTTAAATTTACTTTTAAACAGTGAAATCCTTTCTATCACAACACAAGGAAGACTTCTCCCATATTGGCAACTGTTTTTATATGGTTGGCAGGTTTCAATGAGTCTGAACATGAATAAAATCCAACTACATCACTGGATGAAAAGCTCATGGACTTCCGCTTTTAAAGATGAAATAGAAAATAACTGTCAGATACTAGAAAGCCAAAGGGTGATTTATAATTTAATCAACAAAGAAGCCTTGACCCTTATTTGCACTATTAAAATCTTAATATAACAAAGTCATGTAGTGGGACTATTAGGATTTAAAAGCAAATAAAATTCCTTGGCAGACTAAGGATTTTTGCCATCTGTATCTCAAAGCAGGGGGAAGCATATTCTGTGTTCAGGCTCTGTAATAAGCATATTAAAGTCAAAGGTGCAGCTAAATATCCCAAGCTAAGTAAAAATGAAAAGAAATGCCTGCAGGGCTCGTGTTCTGAACAAAAAAACTGTCTATATTTTGAGAAATTCCACTCTCTATGAACTTCCGCTGATGATTACAACAGCAGGAGATGGAGCCAAGGAGACTCCAAGTAAATTGAAAAGCATGATTTTAAGAGAAGCCCCCAATACCTAGTAGAATGGTAAAGATTTACTCTGACTTCAACCTATACCAACTAGTAGGACATATATTTGTACAATAAATGTATGTCCTGAAAGCATGATAGGGCATAACTCAGTGGAGAAACTGACACATAAAAGCTACCCTCTCTGATGCTCTACTAAAAAAGATGTGATTATAATTAAAAACAAAAGAAATTGTTTTAAAGAAGTGTATTTATACTAGGATTTCAAATCTAGGAACTCCTGAAATTTTTCTAAATGAGAAATAACACCAAGAAGAAACCGTAGATGGAAACATGTGTAAAAGATGGCTTACTACGTGGTGATTAATATTAGTCTGACATGTTAGATGTTATTTCGAATACCAAAATTTTCACTACAGTCTATTATTATACAGATACTATAATTTTAAAGAATTAATTACATGATAAATTGACGGTGGTCCTATGCTAGAAGGCAAAAGGGATTAGAAAATTCACACAACTGCACAACTGTGAGCATTTTTATCCAAAAGTGCTATATTAGTCTAGACACTGCATTTTAAAATATAGGTTTTCTTAAAAATCTTACCTGTTCATTATAATATTTCATATATTTTTGCAAATAGGGTCAAAAGATCAGTATGCTCACTTTTTCTTCTTCCCTAGCCCATCTATAACCTCAGAGATAACTATGTATCTTCATCATTAGTCTGGAGCTAGTAGATGAGTTTGGAATCATTGAATCTGCTCTTAAAAAGTAACTTCTGAGACAGAAGGTTATAAATTGCCCATTACAAATATATAAATCTGATTTTAATTTTAAAGCACTGGCATTTATATATTCTAAAACTGTATAAGCTTAACTAGAATTTTTTTTTTTTTTTTTTAAAAAGCAACCATAGTCAAATGGTATTGTAGACAAATAGTAAATAAACTTCTTGAATTGAATATTTTTTCTTTTTCTTGCCCATACTGCCCTTATTTCACTCATCTAATACATATGCTAAAGAGCAAACAAGAGGCTGGACACGGTGGCTTATGCCTGCAATCCCAGCACTTTGGGAG